CTTCATAGCGGGAGAGGCGGGAGCCCGAGCGGGAGCCGGGAGCCTTGGACGGGGACGAGGCAGAAAGGAAGGGCCGGGTCCCCTCTCTAGCAAACGCCTGCCTGTGCCCGGTTCTCTCCGGAGAGGAGGAGGGCTGGGGAACGGGACAGCCCTGCGCCACCCGCCCCGATCCAATCCCGGGACAAAGCGACGCTCTGCGCTGTGGGCGCTCGGCCCCGCCTCAAATGTGTACGCAGTGCCCACCCCCCAGGCCTATAACAGGGAGAAGGAGAAGGCTGCTGAGTGACCGCAGGCACCGCAAGGGAAGGGACCCAGAGCCCCCCAGCGTTTCCTGCAGCAAACAGTGGGAGGGACTCCTGGAAACCGCACTCAGGGGAAGAGAAAGTAGAAGCCAAGTTTATTGTCTTAGGGCCCCTGCCTAAGTCCTTGGGCCCTGGGGCTATCTCCAAGGACACTTGCCTCCCTAGAACTCCCACAGCACTGTCCTTTCTTTTGTGTACCCAAAGCAGAGGGACTCCAGCTGATTGCCACTTGTCCACGAGCTTGGGAGTCAAGAGGAGCCTTGACCAGGGGGCTTGTCCATCCCGGTGTCTGAGGAGGCCCCCTAAGTCCCTCCTCCACCCAGAAGGAAGGGCCCAGGGTGTATAAAGAGTCCATGGGGGGCCTCAGTTTCCCAGTCCTCTGTTGGATGTCAGGAAGTCCTGGGGTGTAACCTGGTTCCCTCTTGCTGCTGTAGATCCTTTCCTGGGGCTCCCGCCTGAAGCCTCTTCTGCTCCACAGCCTTGCCTCAGTCCTGTCCAGAGGACCCAGCCATTTAGGGGCTTGCTGGCTGTTGGGGTGGGAGGAGAGGTAGGGGCCAAGCTTTCCAGTCCTTGATGACACTGGGCCTTGGGATGGATTGGTCTAAGTCTCTCCTTTCCTTTTGGCCAGAGATGTTGCAATCTGGAAAGAGAAAGGCCAGGCCTGGAGAACACATTCCCAAGGGAGGCCAGGCCTCCATGGAGCTCATTTCCTGAAAGGCTCCTGGGATCTGCTGTTCTCTGGCTTCCCAGCGGGGAGTTGGAAAGGCTCTTAGAAGGCAGGAGTCCAGAGGGAGTGATGACAACTAGGGGGTGTCTTCGGGGGGTCAGGTGAGGTCATGTCCAGGAAAGTGAGTGGGACACCCAGGAGGTCCTAAGGCTTGTTCATGGACAGCTCTAGACCTCTAGGCAAGGAGAGCTGGCAGGCTTGGAGATGCAGCTGAGCACTTCCTGGAGGCAGATATCCTGTTTGCACCATGATTGTTCCAAAGTCTCTGCCCAGCCCTCCCCTCTCCATGACCCTCCCTGCCAGCCACTCCCAGGGCTCTCATCCTCCCCTGGGTCTGCTCCCATCCTAATATTTTGGACACTGTGTTGGGGTTGCCTCTCTACTTGTCCAGTCCTTCTGCTAGACTAAAAGCACATCGAGAGCAGGAACTGTCACCACTGTATCCCTGGAGGCTGGCACAGTGCCTGGCACATAGTGGAGGCTTGGCAAATGCCCATTGTGCACGTATCAAATAAGGCAAAGCTAAAGTCACCTTTTGCTTGCTGTCTGTATAAGGTCTCCCAGGGGTGTGCAGAGGGCAAAGAGATCTGGCCACAATGACCCATGTTGGGTTCAACTTTTCTAGGTCACCTTTGAGGGGGCGGGGGCAGGGACTCTGGGATGAGGGTGCATGTCTTGACCCATACACATGTCTTTGATCCTGTGTGTACATCTCCCCTCTGTTACTTTCTTGGACACACCTGTCCCCTTCCTCTCTCTGGAGAGCTCTTGAGACTAGCCCTGGGTGGGAAGTGAGTGGGTCAGGAGAGAAGGGGGCAGGGCAGAAATCCAGGGTGGGTTGGGGAGGCTGGTAAGGGCTGCCGGGGCCATTGGGGATCTCATGCAGAGATGGGGATCTTCTGAGGTCTGGGGAGCCCATCATGGACAGGGGCTTTCCCATCTTGAGGCTGAGGCACCTGCTGAGCAGCCAGAGGTGGGAGCACCTGTGCAGAAGCTGGGGACACAGCAGGAGGATCAGTGCCAGCCACGCCAGGCCCAGGAGGATCCAGATGGCCACCAGACTCCGGTACACAGAGTTGTAATGCTTGCTGGGACCTGTGCCTGCCAGGCAAGGGGCAGCACCAATGCCAGGGGGCTGAGGGCGTAGCCACCTCCAGGTTTCTTAGGGACTCCCACCAGCCAGGATGTGCTCTCCCTCTTCCTTATGACAAAGATCGGCAAGGGAGGTCACTGGGGAAGTGGTGAGGGGTCCTGGACCAGAGACTTCTCAGGATGATGTTGAGAATCCACAGTAGCCTCAGACATCATTTGGCTCCCCTGAATAACCAGGGGTTATCTGACCCTCAGTAGTTATCCTCTGCTGACATCTCTCCATCCCCTGAGTCCCAGTGGGCCCCCACCCTCAGATATGTAACTATCTGAAGCCGACGGTGCTGAGTGATAAAAGCAAAGCAGAAGCCCTCGCAGAAGCTCCAGCCCTCCACATGGCCAAAGATCATAGGCGGGAAGATGAGAATGGCCAGCGACCCCAGGGTCAGGAGCAGAGCCAGACCCAGGACCTGCAGTAGCTGGGAGGGAGGGACCTGCCTGAGTGCACTTGGAAGGCTCCAGGATTGTATGGGGGTGGGAAAGGTCAGAGGCAAACTTGGGAGTGGNCTTAGAAGGCAGGAGTCCAGAGGGAGTGATGACAACTAGGGGGTGTCTTCGGGGGGTCAGGGGAGGCCATGTCCAGGAAAGTGAGTGGGACACCCAGGAGGTCCTAAGGCTTGTTCATGGACAGCTCTAGACCTCTAGGCAAGGAGAGCTGGCAGGCTTTGAGATGCAGCTGAGCACTTCCTGGAGGCAGATATCCTGTTTGCACCAAGATTGCTCCAAAGTCTCTGTCCAGCCCTCCCCTCTCCATGACCCTCCCTGCCAGCCACTCCCAGGGGTCTCATCCTCCCCTGGGTCTGCTCCCATCCTAATATTTTGGACACTGTGTTGGGGTTGCCTCTCTACTTGTCCAGTCCTTTTGCTAGACTAAAAGCACATCGAGAGCAGGAACTGTCACCACTGTATCCCTGGAGGCTGGCACAGTGCCTGGCACATAGTGGAAGCTTGGCAAATGCACATTGTGCACATATCAAATAAGTCAAAGCTAAAGTCACCTTTTGCTTGCTGTCTGTATAAGGTCTCCCAGGGGTGTGCAGAGGGCAAAGAGATCTGGCCACAATGACCCATGTTGGGTTCAACTTTTCTAGGTCACCTTTGAGGGGGAAGAGGCAGGGACTCTGGGACGAGGGTGCATGTCTTGACCCATACACATGTCTTTGATCCTGTGTGTACATCTCCCCTCTGTTACTTTCTTGGACACACCTGTCCCCTTCCTCTCTCTGGAGAGCTCCTGAGACTAGCCCTGGGTGGGAAGTGAGTGGGTCGGGAGAGAAGGGGGCAGGGCAGAAATCCAGGGTGGGTTGGGGAGGCTGGTAAGGGCTGCCGGGGCCATTGGGGATCTCATGCAGAGATGGGGATCTTCTGAGGTCTGCGGAGCCCATCATGGACAGGGGCTTTCCCATCTTGAGGCTGAGGCACCTGCTGAGCAGCCAGAGGTGGGAGCACCTATGCAGAAGCTGGGGACACAGCAGGAGGATCAGTGCCAGCCACGCCAGGCCCAGGAGGATCCAGATGGCCGCCAGGCTCCGGTACACAGAGATGTAACGCTTGCTGGGACCTGTGCCTGCCAGGCAAGGGGGCAGCACCAATGCCAGGGGGCTGAGGGCGCAGCCACCTCCAGGTTTCTTAGGGACTCCCACCAGCCAGGATGCGCTCTTCCTCTTCCTTATGACAAGGATTGGCAAGGGAGGTCACTGGGGAAGTGGTGAGGGGTCCTGGACCAGAGACTTCTCAGGATGATGTTGAGAATCCACAGTAGCCTCAGACATCATTTGGCTCCCCTGAATAACCAGGGGTTATCTGACCCTCAGTAGTTATCCTCTGCTGACATCTCTCCATCCCCTGAGTCCTAGTGGGCCCCCACCCTCAGATATGTTACTATCCGAAGCCAACGGTGCTGAGTGATAAAAGCAAAGCACAAGCCCTCGCAGAAGCTCCAGCCCTCCACATGGCCAAAGATCATAGGCGGGAAGATGAGAATGGCCAGCGATCCCAGGGTCAGGAGCAGAGCCAGACCCAGGACCTGCAGTAGCTGGGAGGGAGGGACCTGCAACCAGGGTCCACTTGGAAGGCTCCAGGATTGTATGGGGGTGGGAAAGGTCAGAGGCAAACTGGGGAGTGGGGCTGGGCCATAGCCAGGTCCCTTCCCTGCCCTGCAGACTTTGGGGTGGGGGTTGTATCTATGTGTGTGTGATTTTGCCCAGAGAGAAGAAAGATTTGGGCAGAAAGATTGCGTTAGTGGATCATGGAAGAATTTGGAGACCTTACGGGCTTGGGGATGTCACTTGAGCAGTCCCCCAGGGACTCAAATCTAGGACAAAGGACTGTCATTGAAGTGTCCCAGATTGCTGTGCACCCCTACACTCCTAGCATGCCTCTGGTCTTGAAAGGGGCTGGCCAAGAGGGTGGGCGCTGGGGACATGCTGGGTGGCTTGGAGCTTATTTTCGATGACAGGAAAGGAAATTGGAGCTCTGTGATGACCACAGAGATGTGCTGCCCAGATCCCCTTCAAAGAAAGACTGTTGACCAGCTCCAGCTCCTTCAGGACATACTTCACCTTCAGAGAACCACCTGTCCCTAGGGCACACCCTTCCTGGGAAGGTGCTATCCCGTGCCTGACTGAGGCAGGGATATTGCATTCTGCCCATTCAGCCCACCACAGGACAACTCCAGTGGCCCATACATGCTGCAGAGCTCCAAGAAGCCAGGCCTCGTCCAGTCTGCATCAAAGTTCAGCTTCTCCCTCTGCCCAACCTTGCATCTGCCCCTTCTCTTCCACAGGTGTCTACGCCAATGCCCTGCATGCCAAACTCTGTCTCAGCATCTGCAACTGATTTGTCACAGCAGGGCTGTAAAGGACAGAGAGCCCCTACCTGGGAGCACCTGGACAGGTCCTCTCACCTCTTGAGGGTGGCGAGGTGGGTATGCAGCTCTGTGCCTAGGTGAGAAAGGCCTCGCTGAGCGGGATGACCACCAGGGCATAGAAGACACAGAAGACTCGACCTGCCTCCGAGCTGGACACCAGGTTTGCATATCCTGCAGAGGTAGGGGAAGAGTGCAAATATGGGGAAGAGAAAGTTCGGAATTGCGTCCGCTCCTCCTCTCTAGGCTCCAGCAGAGGTTTGTCTTCCACCACCTCTGGGGGTGGAGGAAGCTCCTCTGTTCCCATGAACTCTGCTAAATAATTTCTATTTATAGAAACACTGCTCAACTTTGAAGGCCCACCTCAAATGACACTGCCTCCATGAAGCCCTCCTGACTGCCACCCTGCTCCTCCCTACTGAGTGTGGCTCCCATAGTGCTTTGTGTCATTCCTATCTAATTATCTACTTTGCCTTACGTTATTGTCTTTGGTGAGCTTTTCTTATCCCTCTTTATTGGATTGGAAGCTTCTTGTGGGCTCCTTTACTGGATTGGATCAAACTGGGTCTAATCCAAGTTTATATCCCCCACCCCCAGTCCATCACTCTGCCTGGAATGTCGTCTGAGCTCAAGGAAAGGTGTGTGGAATTGGATTTAATTGAGTGGATAGGGGATATCTGGGTTAGCGGGGGTTTCCTTGGGGGAGTGGGTTTTCTGGCTGAGGAAGAGTGGCTGTCAGTGCCGTGTCCCCTTGGTCACCTAGGATATCACCTGCAGCTTCGGTGGGCAGTCCTGTACACAAATTACCTCTCACCCCAAGTCCCTGAATCTCCCTCTACCTGAGAGATTTGTTTTTGGCTGCAAGAGTGTGCTTGGTCTATGGGCAGGTCCAAAATGGTGGCCAGTTAGCACACCCAGGATCAGCTTTCAACCACGGAGGACAGGAGCTGGTAGATGAACAGCCCCTCATTTTTGCCCCTGTCTGGGACCATTGTGAGGATGGGCTCTACCTAGCCTCTCAGATGGCCCCAAGTGGGGGTGAGCCCAGGCTCCCAAGCCAGTGCCCTGCTCATTAGTGCAAACTTCATTGCCTTCCTCTTCCTCCCATTTCACTTGCCCACTTATCTGCCTATGCTTCCAGAATTATCTTCTAGATAAACCACATCCTTGTCTCAGCATCTGCTTTGGGGGATCCCAAGCTAAGACAGGGGACTTGGGGAAGCCCTTCCCTACCCCAGCCCTTTACCTATGGTGGTGACAACCATGCCTGCAAAGCAGCAGCTGCTGCCGAAGTCCCAGTTGCTGGGGCTGGAGAGTTGTCTTAGGGATTCACACCTTTCACCCAGGCTTCCATGATGACCTGTGGGGGTGGGCTTGGGGGGGTGGCCTGGGTGACGGGGAAGAAGGAGCTGCCCTACTGAGCACCAGCTGTCACCAAGCTCTTGGTAGGATGCTTACCGCATTTAATGATGTTCTTAGATAGTATCATTCCTATTTCATGGAAAAGGAAACAAAGGCTCAGAGTGGCTAAGTGACTTTTAATTGAGTGGATAGGGGATATCTGGGTTAGCGGGGGTTTCCTTGGGGGAGTGGGTTTTCTGGCTGAGGAAGAGTGGCTGTCAGTGCCGTGTCCCCTTGGTCACCTAGGATATCACCTGCAGCTTCGGTGGGCAGTCCTGTACACAAATTACCTCTCACCCCAAGTCCCTGAATCTCCCTCTACCTGAGAGATTTGTTTTTGGCTGCAAGAGTGTGCTTGGTCTATGGGCAGGTCCAAAATGGTGGCCAGTTAGCACACCCAGGATCAGCTTTCAACCACGGAGGACAGGAGCTGGTAGATGAACAGCCCCTCATTTTTGCCCCTGTCTGGGACCATTGTGAGGATGGGCTCTACCTAGCCTCTCAGATGGCCCCAAGTGGGGGTGAGCCCAGGCTCCCAAGCCAGT